ACCTATAAATTTACAATACAATTCAAGACCAAAGACTTTAAAGAGATTTCTATTAGTTTCTCCTAGAGACCAATGAGATCAAATGGAAAGAAAGGAGGCATCTGCATAAGTCTCATGTCTCTCAGATTTTGCTCCTGAGACAAAAGACTGCAGTAGTCTTGCATACGTCTCCTCCTGAGTCTCAGGAAAGATCTCAACAAAGTTATATGTGTCAAAGTTAATGATGTGTCAAGTTCATTCCATTATACTGCCAAACGTACAAAAAGCTATGAATGTAACTCAGGGCCTGTATCTGTTTAATATATTTCCCAAATATTCATAGCTGTATTCAGAGTTTTTTAAATTAAATATAAACCCATTCACTATGTCCTGAGAACACTGGAGAACACTGGGAAAAAAAAAAAATCGATGTCAGTTCCTCGACCTCAGCTGCATCACTCGAGTTCATAATTGGTTTCAAGGAGACATGAGTGCCAAACTGAATAGTGTGCCTTATATTTGTATTTGTATCTGTTTAGAACACATTATCTGTTCAATCTGAATAATGTATTCATATTCTGTTACATCCCTACTACAAGCATACTAATGTATATTTGCTAGAGATGTGTACTCGTGTACTTTTTAGTATCCAGTAGCGTTTGTAAAGATACTTGAAAAGAAGTAGGCTAGGTGTCAGGTGTCCTATATTACAAGTCTTATTTTAGCTGTAGATGTTGTAATACAAGTAAATAAAATATTTGAGTATGCTAAATACTCAGGTCTACTTATTTATATTTTTATATATCTAGCTATAATATATATATATATATTGTTCTGTGTATAGCTTCTGAAGGATTTAAAATTGAGAGTAGTACAATTTTCCCAAGTTCCCAAAGCCAGAGGTAAGACTCATAAAAACTCTACATTTATTACATTTTATTATTTTATGTGGTAACTCCCACATCTGGCAGTCAACCCAGGTTATTTTTATGAGCCATAAAATATATAAAAAAGGTAAACTCCAATGGGGTTTTAAAGATTATTGTTGTAAAAAATAATAATTAAAAAAAAAAAAAAATATATATATATATATATATATATATATATATATTAATAAATCTGTAAGTAAACATAATGATTAGCTTAAATTTAACTAATTTTCTAATGGTTTTAATTACATGTGTAATAAAAAATAAAATGTTGTGAGACTTAATATTCATTAATATTGGTGCAGGATAGGAATCAGGAATCAGGTAGGTACAAAATATTTATCATTCATTCATCACTCATCATTAGTAAGTGCTTTATCCTGGTCAATAGACTGCGGTTGATCTGGAACCTAATCTGGGAACACTGGGAGTGAGGCAGGAATACACCCTGGATGGGACTATGGACTATTCACATATAATGTATCGAGATACTAGTCTTGATATTTTTTGTTGTTGGTTCATAAAGAAAATCAGTCGTATCGCTCATCCCTACTAAATATTTAATTCATTCATTCGTGTTCAGTTACCATTTTTATCAGGGCGTGGTGGATCCAGAGCCTATCCTGGGAGCACTAGGTGCAAGACAGGGACACACTTTGGATGGGGCTCCAGTTCATAGCATGGCACTATGCGTACTCAAATCACACACTCATTAACTCTTAGAGGAAATTTTAGCATAGCTGATGCGCCACCAAAAATGTTTTTGGAAGGAAACCAGAAAATCCAGACAAAACCAGCACGAAGAACAAATTCTGGACTATGGTTTTGAAAGTAAAATGATAGTAGGAAAGGGATTTTAACTGTATTCTTCAAACAGAATAAAAAAACCAGTAAAGAGCATACACACCTCAGAATGGTTCTTCTGTTTAAATATTAACTCGCACACCAGTAGAGGGTATCCCGAACGTCTCCATATATAGGGGAAATTAACACTTTGTAGCAAAATATCTTCCAAACTTTTTTTTTCTATTTTTCTTACTTAGTTTATAGATTATAGATTTTTTTTTTTCAGATAGCCTTTAGGAATGCCTTTGACAAAAGAAGAACGTATTGAAATGGTTCTCATGGCTGGTTCAGGAAGCTGTGACAAGGTTGCGATGGACTTTAACAGGAAACATAGCAAGCACATCAGATGCGACACTGTTGCCAAACTTATTAACAAATTCAAAAAACAGTAGAAGAGTTGAGGACCAACTGAGTAGTGGACGTCCACGAACATCCACTGACAAAGGCACAACCGAAGTGGTGCTGGCAATCATAGTCCCCTATGTATAGACATTTTTGGGACACCCTGTAGTCTGTAACTCTGATATGCAGTAAAGAAATTTCCCGCACCAGCGATTTATTTTCGTCTTATCATGACCAACAAATCTTTCAGTGACTTGCTATTCCTAATGGACAAGTAACACCCATGATGTAGTACATTAGTGTTCATTTCAGATAGATTAGTAACATGTTTATAGCTAACTAATACTTCATAAACTTGCAGCTGGACCAGGACTCTCAAAAACCTCCATTAAATTTAGCCTTAGTCAGAGTTTTGCATTGAAATGTTCTGAAATTAATCACAGTTGCTCTTGTCTCTTTTCCTGTGCAAGGGAAAAAAAGATGATACAGTAAATCTGTCAGAATAAATGATCGTAATTCATCTTTGGAGTGAGGAACACAAAGTCAGCTTCCAGACAGGAAAGTATGTGGTGTTGAATTAATGCTTACAGTGTTGAATTAATCCCCAAAACATTAATATATATCATAATGTTGAGTTAACTCCTACAGTGCTGCATCAGGTCTTACAGTGAAAATGAAATGAACCAACTTCAGACCAGTTTCCCAACAGCACTGGAAAGTTCGGAAAGGTTACAGCTTTTAACATGTTTTGCATTCAAAGGAAACACGGCATGAACTCAGTAGAGCGTTACAAACTTAAAACAATAAAAAATAAAATGTAGGAATCACAAATTCATCTTCCTTTGTGTGTGTGTGTGTGATATTTTGCCCCACATATACTTTTTATACCATCTATGAATTATATATAGTGATATAATGCATTGCTCAACCCTCATCGTTTCAACGTTGAGCTGTTGATAGATTTAAAATTTTAGTCTTCCATTTAAAATCACAATAAGCTGTCATATACTGTATATACCACCACAATATTATGCCTTATTTTTTGCAACTGATTAGAGAATTTTCGTGTCAGTTATTTGAAATATGAAGTAAAAAGTTTGGCACATGCTGGAAAAGATTAAACCAGTATGAGCACATTGCTCATAATGCTGTTTTGCTGTCGTTTTATAAACCATTCAAAGGCTGCTGTACCAGACCGGTGTACAGTTCTTCTATATTATATATTTCTCATGCTCTGTGAAGAACACTTAAAAAGTCCTTCAAAGATACATCATCCGCTTCCACTTCTTCTGATCCGCTCAGCGCTGGCAGATCCATCAGCGATCAGTATATATAGCCACTGATGCTGCTCTCTCTCTCTCTCTCTCTCTCTCTCTCTCTCTCTCTCTCTCTCTCTCTTTCTCTCTCTATCACACACACACACACACACACACACTCTAACATTTCGACTGAATTCGTACTTTTCTATAACAGCAGCTCTGACATTAGTGCTGACTGTAACTCAAATCATTTATATTTTCAAATTAATGCACTTGTACTAATGTGTTATTGTTTATAAAGTAACATCTCATACACATGTACTTGTATGGAGGACACGCCACATAATCTAAACCTAATAATACACAAATTTTATAATGTGCTCTAATTTAATAAGGAATGACATCAAATCGTTGCTATGGTGAAGCTCTCTGTAAGGAGATGTTTATTTAACATCTATGGTCTCCAGTGTCAGTGATTTGTAACTGTCAGTCAGTTTTCCACTACTGGAAAGTCTTGGAACAGAGGAGCTTGTTTCTCTGTTACAGGACAAGCTATTTGTTATTAATTTGTTTTTAAAAAGGAGGAGAAAAGAGAGGCCGGTGATTGAACGACTGTTTATAGCAGCTATAACGTAAGTGACAACAGGAACTAACTTGTCTTGCGGACAGTTTATGACATTAAATGTAACTCCAAACTGACAAAGTGTCATTCACTAATGAGTTCTAGATTGTTGTGGTATAATGGGAATAAAACACTTCAGGATGTGCTGTTATTGGTAAAATAATCAACTTTGTGGTGGCAGTATACCACCCTAGGTTTGTTATAGATATATATAACTTCTAATAGCATAAGCCCAAGTCTTTTATCCTTTATTTATAGCACAGTGAGTTGAATGCTTGAATCTGATTGGTCAGAAGTGCATTATTTTTATATAACTGCACGGCTCAGACAGTAGTTCTGGCTGTAATATGAATAATTAATTAATTAATTAATATTAATGTGCTTGTTCTAATACATTATTGTTTCTATAGTAACAGGTCGTCAGGAACCTACGTTGCGGTGGACACCACATAATCTAAGACTTATAATAATTGTGTTGTTTAACAAGGTAAAACTTATAATGTAGTGAAGTTTATTAGGAAACATTTATGGAAGGAGTCTCAGTTGTAAGTGCTTTGAAACAGCCATGGTGCCTTCTGAAGTTTATCAGCTCAGGAAAGTCTTCGGACAGAGGAGTTCATGCTTTCTAGTTTCTTGGTAAAATGACAAGCTGTGGTTTTTAAGACAGAGAGAGAGAGGGAGAGAAGAGAAAGGCTGATGAGGGAATGACTGTTTATCACAGCTATAACAACAGAGTGCGAGCAAGAACTCTGTTGTTTCTCAGACAATTCCATCTATCCATTTTCTTTTCCCGGTGGAGCCTGAAGCCTATCCCAGGGAACTTGGGGTACAAGGCAGGGGGCATGCTGGAGGGGGTGCCAACCCATCTCAGGGCACAATCACAGACACACACACACACTCACCATGGACAATTTGGAAATGCCAATCAGCCTACAATGCATGTCTTTGCACTGGGGGAGGAAAACAGAATACCCAGAGGGCACGCCCAAGGCTCTGAGAGAGAGCATACGAACTCTTCACACACGGCAGAGGTGGGATTCAAACCCTCAGCCTTAGAGGTGCAAGGCAAATATGCTAACCACTAAGCCACTGTCCCCCCTTTTTCTAACTCTAAACCATTACAATGCATGACGTGTCATTCATTAATAAATTAATCATTGGCAAATCCTTGTGGTATAAACAGAATAACACACTCCAGGCCTTGCCTTTATACGAAAATACTCCACTTGTGAGTTGTGCTACATCAAACCCCCCTGGCATGTGTTATTTTAGTACAACAGCATGGTCTGCCATGTGTTATTCCTTACATATTAATTGTATTATACTTTTAATAACATTCAGCTAAGGACTAAATGCCAGAGTGCAAAATGGGCATTCTGTCCATAAATTATGTTTGAATAAAAACAGATGTATGTGTGAGTACCTGAAACAGTGACTCTCTTCTTTAGTTTTCTCTTGGGCAAGGTTGCGGGTGTGTGTGTGTGTGTGTGTGTGTGTGTGTGTGTGTGTGTGTGTGTGCATTTTTACACATAAAACTTTCAGCAGAACGAAGTTGATTTATCGGGAGAATTTTCAATGTGAAGCCAAAGGCAGAGACTCTTAGCGTCAGAGCTCCAGCCCTGGCTCTGTGCTACTGCAATGGACAAACAGACTACCCAAAGCATAAAAGATACACGCTGTGCATTTAAAGCATTGCTTCAGTGAAAGAAATTTTACACAAAAGTACAAAAGTAGTCAGTCTGTCACATGTCTCATGTCTAGTATTTGCTTCTTCAGTTTTGCAGTAGCTAAGTGATGGATGTCTATTTGAGCAAAAATTTTTTTAACCTTTATTTAAATTTTCATGTGCTTCCCTTACTTAAAAAGGTTGTTCTAATACGTTGTTGTTTCTATAGTAACAGGGAATTGCACGTTGCATTTACAGTACACAACAGATTTATACAAATGCGTTGTTAACAAAGAAAAACATATACTTTAAGATGTGAAGTTTTTTTGTTAGGCAGCATTTATGTAAGATTTATCTTCCAATCGTAAATAAATGTCTTGATTGTCAGCACTTTGTAACAGTCACCGTGCTTAACGTTTCCCAGCATGGGAAAGTCTTCAGGATTGAGGAGTTTACGCTTTCGGCTTTCTCAGTAAAATGACAAGCTATGTGTTTTTTTTTTTGTTTGTTTTTTAGAGAGAGAGAGAGAGAGAGAAAGATGAGAGGGAGAGAAAGGGGGAATGATGTGGTTTTTCGTTTATCATATGTTTATCGTTGCTATAACATAAGTGATAACAGGAACTAACTTATTTTGCAGACGTTCCACATAAAATCTAACTATCAACCACTAAAATGTACGATGTGTCGTTCATTATTAAATTAACCAAAAAATTGGAATCATTGGCAAATCGCTTTGGCATAAGTGAAATAACACACTCCAGACTATGATGTTATGTGAAAATTAAAGCACTTGGCACTGGGCTGTATCACACCACCCGGGCATGGATTATATTTCGTATTTTTCATATACTTTTTTTTAGTATTAGTAAATTTAGTATTAATGGTTTTGCAACATTAATAGTTAATGTTTTGGTATACTTTTATATTAATATTCTTTTATATAAATACATGTGTATAGTAATAATAGTAACATTTAATGTTGTGTAACATCCATGATACACAAGACAGCTTACTTCCTGTTATCACTTATGTTATAACAGCTATAAACTCTCTCTGATAGTGGGATTTCAGCCTATGATCATGAGTGTCTTGAGAAAACTGTACGGCAGAAACATGGCATATGGTATATCGGGCCATTTGAACAATTGTGTTGCAACGACAGAGAGTATATTTCATGAGAAGCACCACACACATGCTGTTTCTGCATTGCTTCACATCCTGCCCCTGTTCTTTATCCTGGTATTGCACCATACACACAATCAGTGAACCAAATGACCACAGGATTCATGTGACAATCATCACGTATACACATTAGGAATGTAACCGAATATAAATGCAGTATTTGGATTTAACAGATCATGTGATCGATACAAATACAGAAGGATATAAATACGAACAAAGGCTTTTTTTTTAATTACAGTTCATTAGAAAAATGAGCATGAGTGAGATTACACAAAACAGCCATGCTAGTGTTAGGGCTATATGTAATTAATAATAAAAAGATCCCCACGTTGGGGTTAAATCTGAATACAGATACAGATATGAATATTTTGATCACTAAGCAGATACAGTTTCAGATAGTGCCACTGTGTTACACTCCAAATACACATACACATAATCCTTAAACTCATGGCTTATTTTCAGCTATATATTCTGAAGCAAATATATTCAGCAACTACTATGAATTATCGTTAGTAAGAATCGTATGTAGGTATGTGACTGAGAAATGTAAGTTTGGACACAGTGGATGGTCCTAGGAGTTTAAGCGCATGATGAACGGGTGTAGAAACAAAACAAACCATAAACGCTCTCAGGAATATTCTACTTTTTTGCCACTTTTATGCTGTGCAAAGTGCTTGTTCGTGGTGTTGGTTTATGCTGTGTAAAGTGTTTGCAGTGTTGGTTTAGCTGCTTTTTGCTCTTCATGTGCATGCAAGTGGAAGCATTTTAATCATGAGCACTGTTTGCTTTGAGGATCATTACAATCATTTAGAACTGAGCACTTTGTGCAACCACAGGCAGAATAACGGATGATGTCTTTGCTTGCGGAGCCTTTGCTTCGAGGTGAAAGTGCCACGCAGTCAAAATAATGGAACACTTAATGAAGCACAAACCACTTCAGTGGATACAATTAAAGCGAGGCAACAGTCATTTTTTAAATGCGCTCATGCCTATCAAATTGGGCCCGTTTTTTTTCCAGTAGGGCAGAAAATCATTTGCCAAGGTCAGCAGTTTGCTTTATGATTTTCCTTTTTCGTTCCTCCTGTGATGGCTTGCGTATATCTGAAAAGCAAAGAAAAACAAGTAAGGGAGTGTATATTCGATGCTTCTTAGCCATGGGATTGGACTTAAGTTACCTTCTATCTAATATTAGCAATATAATTTTTATGTATATCATTTTTTTTAATGTGTTCTCAATATTCCAGCCAGTAGATGGCAGGGGTGATGCATATTAAACTCAGCGGCTGGCCAGGGGACGCTCCCTCTCCTCTCTATCTTCACTACTTTAATAACACTGTTCCAGAGAAACATAAGAGTACAGAAGATGTCCTCAGTATCATCTCAAAAAAAATGATGTGCTAGATCTGCATCTGAATCCCCCACCCTCACATCTTTTTCTGTTTTATCTCTTGATACGCTACAGCTTGTCAGAAAAGCACAAGACTGACTGTACCTCTTTTCTTCTCGGCGATAGAGGAATCCGGCTTTGATCACTGACCTAATTAATGGACTCATTGATGAATGTAAATAAGAGATTAGCTATGTAAATGATGGAAGAAAACACTCTGCCCTCATTTGGAACTTCTTGGGCCCTTGCAAAATTACAAATGCATGAGACAAGATCTTGCAAGCGATGCATTTTAAAAGAAATCCAGGTCAACAGGGGGAGGCGGAGGACCAGAGGCTTCAACGTGGGACATGGGGGTGAAAATAATGAAAAAAAAAACAGAGGGGCTTAAAAAAGTAATCTTTTTGAAATTGCATGATTTTTTTTTCTCCACCAGGACTGTGGCCTGTACTAATAGGGATCAGCACGGCTGCTTCTGTCCGTTTCTGCACTGAAGAGTACGGGGATTAAACCTGGGAGAGGAAGACCATATGGACACAAATGCACTGGTCCATAGAAAGAAGAACAGAGATGGACCAGGCAAGATGTCCACTGTTCACATCCACTATTTTATCCATCATTGGTCTCATAATCCCAGTGGCATTTCCAGATTTATACACATAAGCACGTTTGGACAATGAAGTGGTACATAAGTGGAATGTTCAGCACCATTTAATTATGTATAGGACAAATTCTATTTATTTATTTATTTTAAAATGATTGGACATTGACATTGGAAATGACTTAATAGTGGCATAGGAAAGATTTAGTCAAAATGCCCCAAACACTACTACTATAAAGATTTAAATCAACTTTACATTTAGTCATTTGGCAGACACTTTTACCCAAAGCGATTTGCAATCAAGCTGAGGGTTAAAGGTCCAACAGTGACAGCTTTGAATTTGAACCGACAGTCTTACTTTCAGTAGTCCAGAACCATAATCATTGAGCCACCACTTCCTGATTAGCTCAATATGAGGTCAGAGTTGGCAAGTGGAGTTACCTATTTCAAATGCTGTGCAACACCTATGTGGCCACGTGCAGGGATTAAACTGAGATTTATGAGGTGATGAATCCTTTCAAGGATGCCAAAAATATTGGAACAGTAGAGTTCAATGTAGCTCATATGTACTTTTTGAACATTCTATTCCAGGTTTAGTCCCACTTTGCTGTTATAATAACTTCCACTCTCCTAGGAAGGCTTTCCACTAGATATTGGAGTGTGGCTGTGGGGATTTGTGCTCATTCAGCAACCAGAGAATTAGTGAGGGTCAGGCAACGAGGCCTGGGGCGCAGTCTACGATCCAATTCATCCCAAAGGTGTTCAGGTCAGGGTTATGTGCAGGACACTTGAGTTCTTGCACTCCAACCTTGGCAAACCATGCCTTTATGGAGCTTGCTTTATGCACAGAGGCATTATCCTGCTGGAACAGGTTTGGGCCTCTTAGTTCCAGTGAAAGGAAATTATAATGCTACAGAATACAAGGACATTCTCGACAATTGTGTGCTTTCAAATTTGTGGGAACAGTTTGGGGAAAGAACACATATGGGTGTGATGGTCAGGTGTCCACAAACTTTTGTCCATGTAGCGTATATCTTATTATATAGATTTCTCATTATTGATCTCATGTTCTTCATTCCACTTTACTTCTTAAGAGCATAATTTAAAACTACAGTTGGGTGTCAGGGTATTTTTCTCATTGCATATGTCAGTTTAGCATTACTATCCTAACAAAAATATCTTCTGGAAAAGATCAACTCTCCAGTAAAGCCTTTTTTTTGCTTTAATAATTAAATGCATTTATATCACAGTGCTGTTGAG